AGAACAGGCTTGCAGGGGCCACAACCCATATAGTCCTCCTTACGTAAGGGGATATCATGATTTCGGGCAACTCCGTATTCTACCTACTTACGGGGGACTATAGTCCCTAAACCCTAAACCCTCAATTCTTAGCCCTGCCCCTCTGATCGACACATGTAACTAGGTGGAGGTCGGCAGACGAGCACTCGTGTGGGGTTGCCCAAAATTAAGGGTAACCATTCGGGGTCCCAATAATAAGGACTATAGCATTTTGGAGTCTATGTTGGGGCCCCTGATTAAGGGAAACCATAAGGGAAACTACCTGTTACTAATTCGCACGTTGCTATGGAATTTGGCTGGCTTTGGCGCCAGTAGTCGGAACAATGCCAAGGAAATGGCCACGGCCCAACGAAAAGACACCCTAATAGGGTGCCCGAAACTACAAGCTAGCTACACCCTAAGTTTTCTCATTTTTTGCGATTCCCTAAAAAAAATCACAACGCCAAAGCCGAAAACCTTAGACCGCATGGGTTGTGGTTCGCAAGGATCTGGACGAGGAGTTTACCAACCTCCTTACACGGATCTTCGAGGAGAGCAGGGCGTCTTAGGATTTTACATATCATGAGCTTGTGTGATAAAGGGGAATTTCTCATATTAGGGGTGCTATTTTGGGGGTCCATTTCGGGGTCTACGTTGGGGTCGCCTAAATTCTGGGAAACTGCCAAATAAGTGCGGTAAAGATCCAGGGTTGAGGGTGCGTAGCCTCACCTTTTTGATTTAGGCTTTGGCGCCGCACCAGGCAAATTTCAATGACTTCAATCTAGGAATTAAGAGCCAAAAAGCCATGCCTGCAAATACGTGGATGTGGCTTTTATAACTTGTGGCTGAACATGATTTCTCCAAACGACCTACATGACAGTCATGAGAACCCGGGAACGATGATAAACGCGCAGTTGATGTATGCCGTTACTCTCTGTAACTCTCTTGGGCATTGAGCCTGAACCAAGAGGAAGGTAGGGTCAACCATCATTACCCTCCTCCCAAGCTTCATTGGACATCCCAGGAGCATTCTGAGGTCATCCAGGCGGCTTGCTACTGTTCGCGATTCAGGGATGAAGGGCCTTGGACCTCTGACGAAGGATGGTTGCAAAGATTTCGCTGTGCTTTCCTCATCCTGTATCGCTGTTTAACCTTCCGGGTGAAGCATGTACACGACAGAGCTGATTTCAAAGAGCTTTCGAGTCTTGGAAGGGGAAATTCCTGCCCTTGGGAGATCTTACTGGATCATCAAAACCTAACATACCAGTTCAGCCTACCTCAGCGTAGTATGGGGTGTCTGAAGCCTTCCAACAACTCTATACCCAGAATCTTCAGCCCGTAGTTGTTCAAAAAAGGCTTCTCAGGCGTAGTATAAGGATTGTGTGATAAACCTTAAACCCCCTAAACCCTAAACCCCTAAACCCCTAAACCCCTAAACCCTAAACCCTAAACCCTAAACCCATAACCCCTTTAAAGGAACCCTAAACTACATTCGGGCCCTTTGATTCTGGACCCCGCTCCAGGCGATGGCCTTCGGGGTGCAGGACCTCATCAACGAGTTGGACGAGGAGATGTCAAATGGCAAGAGGGCCTGGGGTTTGCCTTGACATTTCAAATAATAACCATATAAATACCTGTAACAACTAAGCATAGTACCGCAATCGCGGAGAATCAGCAAGAAACAATGGAAAATGAAATGGAAAATGACATGGAAACTTGTATTTTGGAAGTTTGCATTTCTCCCCGAAGAAGGGCTGTAAAGACGATTCTTACCGAGAGGTCTAGGTCGTTCGTTGGGGTCAAGTTCCCGAAGACTGCAAGTCTATCAGCAGAGCTGCATGCTGTTGAGGACGGATTACATTCTCTAAGTGTGTGTCAAGTGCAATTATGGATTCCTGGCCCCATGGAACCCCTAGGCCAAACTCTAGATTACAAGTTTCCATGTCAATTCTTCATTGACTTTTTCCATTTGATTCTCCGCTGCGGTGCACGAGGCTTGTGCCACGGCCTGCAAGGTTGCTTGTGTGGGGTTGATAGCGGGGGGGGGGTGATGCTCACCATCCGCAGGACTACGCCTCTGTGCAAGCGGAAGTTGATGCAATACTGCGCCGCTTCTTCACTGCTCGCATTGGGATGCGTTTTCTCATCCAGCACCACATCGAGTCTTTCCGGACTCGGGGTGAGGGCATTCTGGGCATTTTAAAGGCATTTGCAGATTGGACATTCTCTGATGTCTCGAGCCAGCGAACTTTGTTGTAGTATTCTTGTGGGTGGTTGTCAAAATAATGGTCCCTTTTGGATCCCTAGTATAATAAGGCAGCTAATATTTAGGGTACCCAAAAGGGGACCATAATTTTGACAACCACCCCTGTAAGTATGTGAGAAACACCCCACTTCAGCTCGCAAAGGCAAAGTTCCTTTTCAAGGAACTTTCTTCTTGCAAGCGACATGTATCTTACAGTGAGAGTTTGTTGATAGGGAATACAACCTTGCTCCTTACTCAATTGCTGTATCTGCAAGCATTTACACAAGTCAGAATTTTGGACGTCACGATTTGGGACGATCTGGTGTTTGTGGGTTGTGAACGAGCAGCAGTTATTTCTTCATCTCATTCGTGCTAGAACCGCGTGCTTGGTGATATGGGATTGGACTTGAGATTCCCGAACGTAACCTGAATGAGCCCAGACCATTTAATCAAACTCTCCTTACGCAGGAATTATATGACTTCTGTGGGGATTCGGAGGATATAGAAAAGAAAATTAGATATGCAGGTTAATGTAGGGTTGATAGGGATTGCAACGTCTGTGCGTGGATGGCGCAGGAATCGCGAGGGCCACTCCGGCATTCTACAGATTGAGTGCGACCCCTCCAATATTGCACAGAAGGCCTGTCATGCGTTTCCTGGGTGATGATCTGGGGCTCGTTTGTAGTTTCTGGTTGTTGGTGTTTCGGACCATGGAAGTCCCTTGCTAATTACTAGCCATCGAAATGTGCAAGCCAGGCAACCTGAAAAACTCTTGTGGGTATGCCTGCTGCAGCATGGTTCTTCTGTCAAGGAACCCTCATAATTAGCAGTCACTGGGCTGGTTTTAGTAGCTCTAGAAGCAGCAGCAGCAGCAGCAGGAACAGCGGGCGGGAAGGAGTATTAGGACTAGGACTAAGAGAAGTAGGAGCACATGCAGAAAGAGGTCTGCTTAAACATCTCAAAATATCAGGGGTTACAATGTCTTCCCCCCATATTAAGGATCCTGCTAGGCCTTACTAAGCCCATATGGAATATAGTCCGCAGTAGCTCCGTCAACCCTAAAGGTTGCCTTTGCTGGGATGGTAATGTAAGCCTAAAACAGGTTGTCCTGGATCGATGGAGGGTATGCTGGGGTCGTAGTATGATTTTGTGGCATTCCATATTCCATCTACTTAAGGGGGACTATATTCTCACCCTAAACCCTAACCCCACCATATTCTATCTACTTAAGGAGGACTATATGCCCACCCTACACCCGCACCCTAAACCCTAAACAAGCCATATTCTATCTACTTCAGGGGACCATATTCCCAAGCCTACAGGCCGCCAAAGATAGCGCCATGCTGTGCCGAGCACACCTGGGGCAGGCTCCACCCATCAAGCGCCTCGGGAGCCTAGCTTCGGAGTAATTGTTGGTTTTAAGGGTTTAGGGGCTTTTTTCGGGCTTTAGGGGCTTTAAGGGTTAAGGTTTGGGAGTTTGGGCCGGGCTTGGGTTCTCAGGGTTCAGGGCTTGGAGTTTGGGGTAGGGGTGTACGGTATAGGGTTTGGGGCCAGATGGTCCAAGCTTGAGCGCTTAGGGTTTAGGGTTGGGGATTTGAGGGTTCGGGGCTTAGGTAAATTCACTTGGGTTTGATACTAGGAGTTTAGACTATGGCTCATTTTGTTTGACGAGCCGCGCGCTCCTGCAGAAATGATGATCGTACCTCCAACGCAAGTCAGTTGATGTCTCTCCATCACTTCATTTCACGCACAGCTGAGCTTTCGTCTAAATTCTCTATAGGGGGTTATACAGGGGACTATTAAAGGGGTTATTAAGGGAGATACTAGGGGTTTAGACTATAGCTCATCTAAATTAAACACCATTCAAACAGCCATGTCAAGTGCAAGTATGCCAAATGCCCACCCAGAATCCTTTTCGAATCATGTAGGCTCCCTAAACCCTAAACCCCTAAACCCTGTATTGAGCTCATGGAAGTGGTGGTAGTGCAGGTCGTGGAGGCAGTAGCGTGAGTCAGGCTCGGAGGCTTTCTGGCTCTGTCCGACCATCAAGAGTGGACATTTGGTCCCTTTGGTAGGTTGGTTTAGGGTTTAGGGTAATATACCTGCGTCCATCACCTATGTGGGAAATACTAACTGTAGCTCCTGTGGCAAATGGCAAGCTCCAAATCGCGAAGTCATTGCCCGCCTTCAAACCCTAAGGAGCCCCTAAACCCAAAACCTATACAGTCTACTCTCCCTAAACCCAAAACCCCAAAACCATAGGGCTTGTCAGAGCCCAGGGTTCACCATACGAACCCGGGCACGTTCACGTACGCGCCTGGGCTGCAGACAAGGCCATCTGCCTGCAGCATAGAAGTCCATTCAACAGGGATTACATAGGGATTATATAGGTTTCAGGGACATTGCCCCAGTACTGGAGAGATAAGTATTGGCATCCTAAGACTGATTATCGGGCTGGTGCTGAGTATGTGAGATCGGATCAGATGGTTGATTGACATGAGTTAGCATGTGCCCTAAAGACCCCTGGTGAGCTCATGCAGGATGATGTCCAGCTAGCTGAGTTGCATAGATCCGCCCTCCTCCTGGTAGCCTGGGAGTACAGAAAAGGTACGAGTATTACCACTCTTATTGTGTTATTACTACTATTACTACTATTATGGCTATTATCATTATTATTACTATTATGCTATTATTGCGATTAGCACTATTATTGCTAATGCTGCTTCGGTACCGCAAGGTGCCAATGCACCTGCATTACATGCTGGTGGAGGCCACTGTCATGGCTGGTTCAGATTTTGCCTTTTTAGGAAAAGAAGGCTGCTGGCATAGATGCGAGGTGTAGGCTTGCCATGCGACGTGTTAGATTTTGTCAGAGCCAGGAATAGGAACAACAAAAACAATCAAAGCGCAGGATTTTGGGGAGGGCATATCCATTCTTTCTGGGGGTTGGTTATGAAGGGCTTGGAATGGGGTATACCTATCAACCCTAAACCCTATAAACCCTATAAACCCTAAACCGTCCTAAGCCCAAACCCTAAGCACTATCTGTTTGTTGATGTTTTCTTGGACAATGTGGTAAAGCCTTTGGACTGGCCATTGCTTCGGTAGCACGTGAGCTATAGTCTGAACTCCTCAAAGGGGGTAAAGACAGTAGGGTCTAGGGTCTCGGGTTTAGGATTTGGAGTTTGGGGATTTAGGATTTAGGGTCTAGGCTTTAGGGCTCAGGGTTTAGGATGTTATAGGGAGTATTATAGGGGATACTCAGGAGAATACTAGGGGCTTAGACTATGACTACAGCGAGAGCTTTCCAAAAATCAAAGGCTTTAGATTATATCCTATAAGCCCTAAATCCTGAACCCTAAAACTGTACCCGGGTTTTGGGTCCCACATACCCCAAGCAAGGGTTGTATTCTATGTGGGGCTCCAGATCCAAGGGTGCAAACCCTATGGGTGCACTGCGAAAAATGAGGGCTCCTCCTTCACGAGTTTGGTAAGGATGTAGGGTTTAGTGTTTGAGTGTACTTTTGGCGGCCTCCGGGCTTTTAAGACCTGTATGCCTTACGCAGAGAAACGGCTGACAAGAATGGGTATCAACTTTATCATAGATGCTGACACCTGTGTGCCGTGGTTACAGTCAACTAGGAACTACAGGTATACAGCAGAAGCCTGAGTGATTACTAGTTATGGTTCAGCAAATGCCCAAACCCTCTAAAGCTGATACCCGAAACCCTGTACAACCCTGAAACAAGCGGCTTCTGAAACCGCAACGTGTTCTTTGTCGTGAACCCGAAGGTTTTCCTAAACCCCAAACCCCAAGCTCGAACACCCAAGCCCTAAACCCGCCCACAGGTTTTCAAGAACGCTTGCCGCGCTGTGGTTGAGCGCCATGCCGACGGCTTCGATGATCTGCTGCCAGCCATCCATTGCCCCTGGCCTTGCAGGATTTAGGGTGTTGAGGGTTTAGGGTTGAGAGTTTAGGGTTCAGAGTTTAAGGTTTAAGGTTTAGGGTAGGGTGTTGAGGGTTTAGGGAGAGTGTAGGAAGGCTGTAGAGTTTCAAGGGTTTGTCTCAGAAGGGTGTGGGGTGTTGATGTTTTATCTGGGTTCAGGGAGGGTTTACAGTTCAAGTGCAGGATCTGCGCCAACTGATGTCGAATGGATTTACGGCGGACTGTAGTCCAGTTTCCAGACTACTCCCACGAGACCCCCATACCTACCCTGCTGGAACATTGAAGTGCATGCCAGCAGCTGAGACGTTATGGGCTTTTTACCGCTATCGGGTGTGAAAAGTAGGCTAGTGCATTATCACTCTTGATATCACAAGACACTCCCAGAAGGAATCATATGGCCCTATCACTCTTGTTGCCTGCATTGTTTCCTACTGTGCGTTGATGATGCTACCACGACCTCGTACTACTCATTTCGCATTACTCACACTGCGGCTACATAGAACTACTCATGTCTGCGACTACGGATCCACGACCACCGTTTTCTTTCTAAGGCCACATTGTCCACGGCAATGAAGACGTCACGATGCCCGGCAGGTTTTGTCTATCAAGTGGCGGCAAGATGGTGGGAATTATGATGATTGCTGTAGGTTTGGCGTACATCAAAAATGTCAATCAGCTGTACTGGGAGTGCCCAAAACTGGCAATAGTATGCTACTCCCTGGTGGCATGGTCTCAGGCATGTATGATGCTTTATCTTTTTCTCCTGAAAGAGATTCAGAACCAGAACGCGCCCACGTGGTTGCTGATTCTTGTCAAGGATCCGTGTCAGTGACGAGGGGGGCGGCATTGCCCGGGCACACTTGCCCAACATTTGGAAGTTTCTTGGCTTGCTACTGTGTCGCGCCTTTGGGCCATGTCTTCCAGGCTTCCTTGCTTCCATGTAGGACTAGGACTTCTGATTTCCTTCAGTCTGTCTGCAGTAGTAGGACCTGCTGAGGTCAAGTGACAACCCCTCTCCACCCATCGCATGTAGGGGACGAATGTGCGCATGAAAAGACTAGTGAGGAGTGTCCCCTCTGAAAGGAGGGAAGCTTCTGGGAAGTTCTCCCAAGGCATCTTGTAGCTCAGGACTCATACAGTTCTCCCATTTGGTTATGCAAGTATTTTAAAATTTCTATTATAGTACAACCCAAGCCGAAGGAATTATCGACAGCAATGTTTTTACACAGCTAAATACTCCAGCTAGCCACCCCCCAGACCCTTCTCTTTGCAAATTGAAGCGGCTGAGGTTCATGTACACCACTTCAAGACGCTCTGGATGCAGCTAGAACCTTCCGGATGGAGTGGACGATTGTTTGGCAAGAGAGGGGTGGGGGCGCGGCACTAGCACTGGGGAAATTCGCCGTTCTGCAGGATATTCATCGAGAATCCAAACCAGAACTGTGTTCAATCTTATGCCTGCACGGGCAAAGCCTCACAAACTCCATCGGCAGTGGTTGTAATTTCAAGACAAAGTTCCTTGCAGTGTAGAGGGTCGAGAGGTTCCTGGACCTCTGGTGTTTTGTCTTGATCCACGGAATCAATCCCTCAGGGCGGAGGCGGTAGGTCTCAACTATGATCTCAAACATCAACCTTTAGAGCCTTAGTTTAGTCGCCTCTCTTCTAAGCCGTAGCAGGAACTCTGAACGGGAAATTTGGTACACTCCAAATACGGCCCTCGTTGTCCTCGATGTTCTCATAGCATAACTGCAGCATATTTCTTGCATGCCCCTGACACAATGACATGCAACCTTGTTTGTTCCTTACACAACCTCCTGAATTCCTAAGCCAGAAGCCCGAGGCAAAGCCCAGTCCTAGAATCTTGAACCTCCCAAACCCTTGAATCTCTGAAGCTTAAACCGCCGAAGCTCTACATGAGCTATCGCCTAAACTCCTTAACGGGGGGGTTATATAGGGGACTAATATGGGGTTATAAAGGGGGATACTAGGAGTTTAGACAACTGCTCACAAAACCTTTTGAGCCTAAACTCCCTAAACCCCGCAACATACATAGGAGTTTCCCAAAATTAGGGGTACCTTTTTGGGGGTGCAAGAATCAGGATTATGGTATTTTGGGGTCTGTATTGGGGTTCCATTACTTAGGGAAACGATCACATAGCAGCATTCTGTGAAGCTCTTGTTGCAACTGAGAAAAGTCACCGTGGGCCCGGAGGTGCAGGGTACATGAGCTGTAATCTGAACTCATTGTAGAGGGTTGTATAAGGGATGATACAGGGTTTAGGGTTTATTGTCTTAACTCCTTAACGGGGGTTTATATATGGCGGATTCTTGTTGGGATTATTCTGGGGGATACTCGGAGTTTAGACTACAGCTCGCATGGCATGGCAGGAGTTCTTGAAGGGACCTTTGGGTTGCCATTTCATTTGCCATGGTCTTTTCCATGTGATTTTCCACTATTGGGGGAGAATACCCTATATGTGTATATATATTATGTATATCTATATCCCTAGAAGCATGGTCTCTACCAGCTTTCAGCTTCCGCTTGCATTTCACGTGTCATGATGTTTTCCATTTGATTCTCAATTTTGGGGGGCAAAATCCCCTACAACCCCGTATAACCCCTGTGTAGGTCCTATATGGCATCCATAGAATCCCCAGAACTGCCAGCATACTCCCAGTACAATCCCCATATAATCCCAGTACTACCCTGATGTTGTTGGGGTGTCCTGGCCCTTTTTTTCGATGGCAGCGGTTTAGGGTTTGGGGGTGTGTTCTTATACCAAGTGTTGAAGTGTATAGGGTCTAGGCTAAACGGACCCTCTAGTCATGGTATACCCTAATATAGTCACTAGTATCCCTGATAGTCACCATTATCGTGTGGGGGGTCCACCTAGCGTTTAAGGGAGTGTACGGCTTGAGGAGTTCAAGCTTTTTTGGAGTTGTTTGAAATGAAGTCTTGGTTCCTGTATTTCATGCCAGGACTGGCCTGAAACTTCCAAGATTTCCCATGCTGGGGCTACAACGTTAGGGATAGCGAGCTAAATAGGGATTCAGTCGAAGTGAATAGTCCAACATGTAGCAGAATCAGGGCCCGCAGCTCTTCCCACGATCCAGCAAGGGTTTTGCTAAATTATGCAAATAGCCGTTCCGCAATGCCAATATACATTTTCTGAAGCTTGAGATTCAGATTGAGACTCAGGAGCTAGCAAGTTCGGGGTGGTAGAACAATCCATGAGCAGATGGCATAGCCAAAAAGCTACCCCCAGACCCCTCAACATCCCTCCATGAGCTGATACAGCAGTTTTCTAAAACAGGGGGGACCCCAATGTAGATCCCAACACACTAGCATCCTTACTATGGGGACCCCCAAAAGATACCCCTAATTTTCTGAAACCCACAATATCAAAGCGAGATCTAGAGGTTACGCACGGCAGCCCCTGCTTCTCCGTGTGTTTGAGCTGCACCGCAGGGGAGAAGAGTTCCAGACACGACCGGGGGATTCGGCCAGCAACCCGCTGCAGCGCTGCTAGGCATGCAATGGTGGATGTGGGGGGTTTTCGGAAACCAGGGGTCCCTCCCATTCTGGTATATTAGGGACTATTTTGGGGCCGCCTCTTTATGGAAACTGTCATGCGGCCATCCTGGGTCATGGCCAGGGAGTTGCGTCAGTCACTTCCCATGGGGTTTCAGGGCTCCAGATACGATTCCCTTGCTTCAGGTTTGTGGGTGTGTGTGGGATATGGGGATTAGGTCAGCTACACAAAGCTCTTCAATAGTCCATGCCCATTCAGCGTGTAAGAGCCCAATGCTGCAACCGCGTTCATTGAGGGTTGTTGGGGTTGCAGAGTAGGATCGAATGACTGTGGAGATTTGTCAGAGCAATCTACTTCCTGCAGCTAGGCTCATCGGGCTTCTATGCTTTCGGACATGGCTCATGTTGGGACTGCTTGTGAAATGTATGAACTATGAAGCTATGTATGATGCCCCCTTCATGTATGTCTCAGGGGTGTGAGAATGATGGTGCTTTTGAAGCACCTGCAAAAAGTTGCGAACATACAGCGACCTGTGCCAAAGAGCCATGCCAAGACACATAAAGATCAAGGAGCGACACTCCAACAGCCAGCTACACAGTCACAGCGCTAAACCCTAAACCCCTAAACCCTGAACCCTAAGCCCTGTGCAGCAGCAGTAGGGTGTTCACTGACGCGGCAGCTGAAGCACCAGCTGTTCCAGCTCTTATAATGGCAGCCTTGTGCTCTGTTTCCCTGCCCTGAGTTGCGACAATGTGCCCAAAACCACATGTGGTAGTTCCCCAAGAAGGGCGGGACCCAACATAGACCTCATTATACTTGGATCCTTCTTACGGGGACCCCCAAGACGGTCCCACCCCTCCAAAAAAATTAGAAACCTTAAACACTAGCTCCTAAACCCTATATACCCCTGTATAACCCTTATGGAGCTCCTATATCCCGGGTGTTCAAGCCCCACTTCCCAGCCCCAAGGCCCGAAACAGGGCGGCGTGCTCGCCGGGCTCCTCGGCAGCCCCTCAAAGCCAACTGTGCCAATTCCCCCCTCCACCTACAGTTCCCCTTAATAAGTAGATAGAATATGGCTTTGGGTACATTATAATAAGATCCGCATATACCCCATGCTCTATCTACTTGAGGGAGACCATATACATTGCTTGAGTTGCTCTGTTCAGGAACTTAAATCAAGCTGCTATAGTAAGGAAACCTCAATAATTACAAAATGCCCATAATACTTTCCTTAACAGCAACCCAGTGGCTAGGGATTATTCAGCAGTGGTGCTTGAACCTTGGGATGGTTTTTGGGCAACAAAGAGGGTCCCAATGTCTCAGGACGTAATACGTTTACGGTGACACGGCTCCGAGTGACCCCTGACGAAACGCACATTCTGTCCTTGGGGACCAGCAAAGCAGGCTGTGTGAGTCCTCACAGAGTATACCACTGTGCGCAGGCTTTTCTTCAAATTCCAGACTGTTCAACAGGAAGCCA